AACTTTTTGTTATGAAGCTGCTTTAAGTTAAAAAAATTTTTAATGTTTAAATTTATAGTAAATTCGAACTTTACTGTTTAAATTACAGGGGAGATTGAATCCATACAAACTGATCAGATATGTTTCTCGTCTGGAGTAATATTGGATTACAATTAAAAAGGTAAAAGATACATATAACTTATCCAAATTATCTCAATCTAAATTTAAATTAAATTTAGAGTAGAGAAGATATTTATTATATTCCTGGATTCGGTTCCTTGTTGCTCACTTGGTTTGGGTGGAAACAATAGGTGATCCATGGAGAATGAAAAAGGCGCATAATGATGACAAATCTGATAAACTTTGTCCTATATTTATAATAGAATGTGGAATTATTTGTGTAATTCTTCTTTCCATTACGGTTACAATTGGCATTGTATTGCATTTTGAAATTGAGGAGAAAGGTGGTTTGGGTGTTGATGATGAAGAGGAAGGGGAACTAGAAATCGAAGCTCCAGCTTGGTTTTTCCCTACCATTTGAGGTGCTGCGTGTGGCATATTTGCATTGTTGGCTAGAATTCTATGTTGGCTGACCAAAAATTATGTGGCGGGAAGGGCTGTGAAGGGCCAAGGCAATGCCCCCGATTACACTTTGGGGTATTGTTACGTTGTGATAAACGCCGTTGGTTTCAGCTTCTCGGTGGTCTTGGCCATTGAATTGGCGTTGCTCACCACTTTCATGATCATGTGTCCGACTGTTGCCGCTACGGCTCCTATATCGGACGTCGAAATGCCTGCTGATGATCAGCCTGATCCTCGCATTGCTTCCGGTGAAAGTGAAAGGAAGAAGGCCAAGAGATTGAAGATCTTTTACACCAATAATGGGCGAATCATACAGGGCTCGGCATTGTTTCGACATCTTAACAGCTGTTTCGAATTATGCTTAATACTAAATTGTTAGACTCCTGAACTCTAATCAATGGTATATCGAATTTAAGTGAGTGTTTGGAATCAGTATACTCAGATTTCTGTATATTCATATTCGTCGGGTATGTATAAGACATAATGATCATGCACATAAGCATTGTTTCAAGACGAGAAGTGAGATCAACATAGCTTATATATGCAACTTTTAAAGCGAATTTCAACTTTTAGAATAATGAGGTGTAAAACAGCTAAGAATGCTTGGAACAGACTTAGAGATCAATTTCAAAGTTCAAAAAGAATTAAAGAGATGCAAACTATGAACTTAATCAGGGAATTTTAGACCTTGAGAAATGAAGGATTTAGAGAAAGTTACAGATTATATCAACAAGCTCATGCGGGTGGTGAATCAGATTAAATTATTGGTAGAAGATTTATCTGAGAGACAAGTCGTTCAAAAGGCTCTAGTATCCTTAAGAGATAGGTTTGAGTCAACGATAGCCTCTTCAAAAGGATCAAAGGAACTCTCCAAATTATCACACTCTCTGATGTTACTTACGCTTTCGAAGCTGCAGAGCAAAGGGGAGTTATAAGGAGTGACAGCATCACTGAAAATGCCCTATTTGCAAGAATGAAAGGGAAAACGGTGGGAGAGTCAAAGCACGAGGAAGGACTAAGATGAACAAGAGGGGAAAGAGAAAGGGGTTCAATCAGGGAATAGAAACCAGCAGAGGGAAGGGAAAGGGCAACTCTGTTCTCATTGTAAAAAACGACCAGTTGTTGGTTTAGACCCAATGTAAGGTGTAGAAGTTGCAACCAGTTGGGACATGTTCAAAGGGTATGCAAGAATAAGGCTGAGCCTCAAGCTAAAGTACAAGAACCAGTAGATAAAGTAGATGTAGCAGAAGAAGAAGTCTTATTCATGGTGCAATCTGATGACGTAAATGCCATTGATGCTAACCAATGGTTCCTGAACAGTGGTTCTTCTAACCACATGACGCCGAATGAAGCTTTATTCACTGAACTTGATAATCATTACCGTTCAAGAGTGGAGATTGGGAACGGTGTGTATTTGCAAGCAAAAGGAAAAGGGTTAGCTGTGATTCAAACTCTTTCTGGTGCCAGGTATGATTTTGATGTTCTTTTAGTACCTGAATATTTCTTGACATTCATTAATGATCCTTCTTAGTATAGAAGCCTCATAGGTTGTTTGTTGTACTTATGTGCTGCACGTCCTGAACTGATGTTCTCTGTTAGTTACCTCTCAAGATTCATGCAGCAGCCTTGTCAAGACCATTTTACTGCTGCCAAGAGGATCTTAAGGTATTTAAAAGGTACAACAGATTTTGGTCTTCTCTTTACAGACTCAAAATCGATTGAATAAGTTGGCTTCTCTGATAGTGATTCGGCCGGCTGTGTAGATGATTGTAAAAGCACATCTGGCTACATATTATCTTTGGGAAATAGCAGCTTTTCATGGAACTCTCGGAAGCAAGAAATTATCGCACAATCGTTTGCAGAAGCTGAATATATTTCAGCTGCCGCAGCAGCCAATCAAGTCATCTGGATTAGGAAAATCCTTGAAGACCTTGCAATGAGAGCCACCGAACTTTATGTTGATAATAAGTCAGCAATTGCCATAGCTAAGAATCCTGTCTTTCGAGGCAGGACAAAGCACATTGGCGTCAAATACCATTCTCTCAGAGAGGCACAAAAGAATGGAGATACTAGTATCCTTCATTGTTTATCTGATGATCAGCTCGCAGACATAATGACAAAGTCTTTGAGCAAATGAAGGTTCCAGTTGTTGTGGAACAAGTAAATGGTGCGACGGGCAAGCATTAAGGGAGAGTGTTGTGTGTAATGCTTGCTGACTTTATGCTTTTGTTGAGCTCTTGACGTGTGGCTACTTATCTGTTTAACATGCAGAATTGCAGATATTATATCTACTACGTACTACTTTGCATGAGACACTCTCAGTCTAATGTAACACTTGTTTAGATAGTTTTAACAAGTGTACTCTCTTGTTTATGCTTTTAAGGAGTCATTGTATATATATTGAATGACTTGTAATGAAAAGTATGTATGAGCCTGAACCATGAAATAGAAGCTCTCTGTTTGCCCCTGTTTCTTATACCAAAAACAGAACTTGGCTCTTCAGTGTCTGTGTCATTGGATAACAATATTCTACCGCATATATATGTTGTGTGTTTCTTCTTTACTTTATCGTTACATTCTGTATTATATTGCTTTTTCAAATGGAGGAGAAAGTTGGCTTGGGTGGTGATGAGGAGGGAGAGGAAACAGAAATCGAAGCTGCAGCTTGGTTTTTCCCTACCATTTTAGGTACTGCATGTTGCTTATCTGCAGTGTCGGGTGGAATTTTATTTTGGCAGACTAGAAATTATATGGCGGAAAGGGCTGTGAAGGCCCAAAGCAAAGAGACCGATGACCTTTCGATGTATTATTACATCGTGCAACACGTCTTTGGTTTCAGCTTTTTGGTGGTCATGGCTGTTGAATTTGCGTTGCTCACCACTTTCATGATCATGTGTCCGAGTGTTGCCGCTACGGATCCGATTTCGGAAGTCGAAATGCCTGCTGATCAGCCTGGTCCTCTCATTGCTTCCGGTGAAAGTGAAAGGAAGAAGGCCAAGAGTTTCAAGATCCTTAACACCAACAATGGGCGAATTATACAAGGCTCGGCATTGTTTCGACATCTTAACAGCTGTTTCTCGGCCCTGATTTTAGTTTCCCCAAAGCAAAATAAACAGTAATTCTCTGTCATTTTATTGATCATATAATTGATCAGGATGTTGGTAATTAATTATTGTATTCTAGTTATTTTAGAAACAGCTACATGATCATTTACTATGAATAAAAGATTTGTTTTCATTTAATTATATACTATATATTCTCGTAAAAAACCAATCTCTAATAATCATTGCTGCAGTCTGCCTTTGTTGGACCAATCCAATCCCTAACTCAGCTTCCTTAATCAATTACAAGGCAGGATTTGCTTCCTCATCTTTAGGTGATAATTACGTGGATCACATCTATAATGATATGGTAAAGCAGGGGAGTAGTGAATTATGATTTTTTTTTTTCTAAATTCCATTAACGAGTATCCTCAATCACTTGTTAGGAATTAAGTAATGCAATGATAGTAATTTTTGTTGCATATTAGGTAATTGCTTGGCACTTGGCGATGTCGTTGGACTTGGAATTTGTGTTAGTTGTCCGAGCACTCGTGTGATTGAACTGAATGGCTCGCTTGTTTCTGCCAATCGCTCTATAAATCGGGGCAAGCAGCCGCAATTGTAGACTTTGCGAAGCATAATGGAAAAGACAAAAAAAGAACAAAAAGAAATATAAAAGATTCATATGATTAGTGAATAATATAGGGTATGACTAGTCTCGTGCGATCATCGTTTGGTTCTTGCAAGACAATGGTGTCCAATGTACACTGCTGGTGGACCAACGTGGCAACATGATGGGTAGAACTCAATCTAGAAAAATATGTTGCATGATCAAGAATTTTGTATTGGACATATTCATCGTATTCACTGTGTGAAACATTTTAAGATTATTCAATTCAACACTTTAATTTTGAAAAGCGGGATTTTATTAATTTCTTCAATAGCATAGTATTTCGAGTCTCAAACTTGGATGCAGGAGATACTCTCGTGGCATAAACCGTAGTGAAAGTGAAATTTGTTGCACATTTGACCAAAACAAGCCTACTACTCAAAAAGAGATTGTTAGCAACTCAATCGAACGCTTTTCGTATATTCAACGGATCAACAAAGCTCGAGCCTGCCATGGTATCTGAACTTTTTTAATGGGAAGTTGTACCATGATATGACACAGCTAACATCACGACAACATATTGTGCTAAAGTCTAATGTTTAAAATTTTGTAATTCCTCACTTGAATAAAAAGCTCACTGACGGATAAGAATAAGAATAGTTTCGCGCAACACTTATAACTTTTCGAGTCTATATAATGGGCAAGGGGCATGTCGAGAGAAGCAAGAACTCATTGTTGTATTCAGCCAAGTGAGCTAGCTGCATCTCTTACTAGTGTTGTTCTCAGCTATGGAATCCTTTTGCAAGGTACTCGGAGACGTGGATGCTAAAAAACAGATGGCCATCCCGAGTGACTTTGTCCAGCATCTACCACCTCATGGAGGAGGGTATACACATTATTTTCCAGTGGTGGATATGTCCGGCAAGGTGTGGGAGAATTTCGGATATTACATCAGAAGTGTAGAAAGCCATCCCAAGCCGGTTTTCCAGGGAGACTGGCATCAGTTTGTCCTTGCTAAGGGACTCGTCGCCGGTGATCGAATCATCTTTCGAATGGAACGGGATGCTAACGGCGTTCCACGTTACACAATTGCTGCACAAAAGAGGCTGCTGCGCAAACTCTTTGGTCAGGCTATTTGGGGGCCAGAGTTCTAATTACTTTTATGTGTATCTTTGAGTTTGCTTTGTTGTTGTTGTTGTTGTGTTTTTAACTAAGTATATGCATGTTTGTACCTTCTTTTGTGCTTCTTCAAATTACTATATATTGTATTAGTGATAAATTTCATGTTCTGTTAATGTAACTTTTATTGCTACTTATTTTATGCTTTCTGTTTTCTTTCTTCTGCATCTCCATCTTCATTTTCGTTAATTCATTATTTACTGCTTTTATGCTTATTTATGCACATATATATATCCATCAAGTTGATAAAATAGGCATTGATTTATGCTCCATGGTGCGTATGATTTGCACTTCATAGAAACATATAAACGGTCAATTTCATTAAAATGCACTCCTAAAAAGTAAAAAAAAAATAAAAATAAAAGAGATGTGACATGTGATGTGTGATATTCAACAGTTTTATTTTAAATATCTCGAGTTTGGATCACACGATAATAGAGATAATACATATATAATTCAAAATTACGTAAAAAAAGATAATTCCAATTATGAATAATTAATGATCTATACTACTTTTTCAAATTTGTATAATCTGATATAAAGAAGTAACTTACCAAAACCTACCTAGATTAGAAAATGTTCCAAAAGAATTTTTGAAATAAAATCGTAGGCCAAAAAGGGCCAAAACAACTTTGAATAACATGCTACAGGTTGCATTGGCTCACTTGAACGTACGCTTCCATGTGTAAAATGCTTATTATATTGGACTTGTTCACTAGGAAAACTTGAAAGCAAATATAAGGATAAGATCACACGATCATTAAGGTAATTGATAAATTGCGGCTTGAACAAATGGTACCTGTACATGAGAGCTATATGTGGGTTTGGGCAATTAAAAATATGGTTCTTTTTATTAAGTATATATATATATATATATATATATATAAAATTGTATAGCAAACTAATTAACTTTTTGACGGGGTTTATTATCACCAGAGTCTTTTGTCACTTCTGCAGGAGATTTCAAATCGTCCAATGACTGCGGATTTTATTAATGACTTCTTACAAACTTTTCAAATATATATATACTGAGGCCTAATTAAATAAGTTCGCGATATTAACGATTCTTTTGAAGAGAGTTGTTAAGCCATCAAGTAGGTTGCTCTAAAAATTTGTGAAAATGATGGATGTGACTCAGGGAATATTCATTTGTTCTAGAAGAGTTGGATTTGGCATCATGCCCCATTTCAAACTTTATATTTCGAGACAAAAAATGAATATGTGGTGACAGAGTGTTGAAATGCAATAAAAACAAAGTTCCCATTTCAACCTTGCAGGTTGCTTCTCGCCTTTGTTTATAAAAAAGGTGAAAATGAAAGGTAAATGTGTTTATATCTTGTATAAGTTCACATGCAGGACCAATAACCAATTATATGGTCAATATGGGGGTCCTCTCCATCTCTATATATCTCTCACACTTTTTACGTTCAAACTAGGTTTAATACAATTAGTGTAATTAAGTTTTCAAGTTATAATGATATTTTTGGGGCACATTATTATGTAATTGCTTGCTTTTCTATTAAAATTCAAAACTAAAATAGGAAGGGTTACCTCTTCATATTTCGTTCTTTTTTGGTATGCTTAGGTTTCACCCCTTTCACAGTCTAACGTAATACAGAAATAGTGAGTAAATTGTCAACCAATTTTTCTCGAGAATCAAATAGTTGTTGTAGCAGATATTCTTTGATAATTAATTCGAGTGAAGGTATTATTTATCGTTTTATTGATTGCAATATAGCGTAATAAAATAAAAATAGAAAATGTTAAATATTTTTATGGAATCTTAGCTGTTGAATTTAAGCTCATTTCTAATAAAGTGTAGCTGAATTTCGACATGGGATAAATATAATTGGAACCTTTTAGGTAACGTTGCTTGGACTGGGGAGATCTAGTCGCTTTACGTACAAGTCAACTTGTATAAGCTTTTACTATTGTTGTGATCGTATATTGCTTTCTTCTCAGCAATGGCAACTCTGAGATGCTTTTATTGCTATTGTGATCGTGTATTTGTATCTCCTTTTGCTTCTTTAGATGATTAGTATTGTAGTGTGTAGTTGTTATAAATTTCATGTAAGGTAACTTTTATTACTCTCACTTATTTTATGCCTAACTGATTGTATTTTCTTCTTCTACGTATGTTCATTTAATTTTCATGGTTCATTGTTTTAACCATTTATTTTCTTAGCTTCAAAGTTCATTGTTTTAACCATCTATTTTCTTAGCTTCAAATCCCTTCCATTAATTCTTTGATTAATACTTTTCATTACATTTATCTTCACTGTTCAATCCCTCCATCAATCTTTTGATGAATATTTTTCATTATACTTATCATTTCCTTTCATACTTCTTTCTTTCCAATCAAAATCAATCCCTTTCCTTTTCTATAGTTTTTCCTTTCTGAAATCGGTATTCATGCTAGTAGGAGTCTCCAACAATTTCAGCTCGAGACTAATATTGGCATACTAGTTGTGAGGATAATAAAATCTACTTTTCCAAAAAAAAAAATTTGATTAATATTTTTCATTACATTTATCTCTCCTTTTCATAACTTTATTGATACATATGTATGATGTATTATACAATATTGATAACTATGTAAACGTTTTTTTCCCCTTAAATTTTGTTTCTGTTAAGAGAAAATATCCAAAGCTTATTATGAAATTACCTTATTCTTGCTAAAACACAATCAATCCTCTTTTGCATAAAATGAAGCTTGGTTGCTTCAAATACAACATCTTCTCTGGAACCGAAGAAGAAACAACGAAATGGAAACTAAATTATGGACTTTTGACCTTTCCTTAGTCCAGCTCCGACTAACTTTCTATTCACAATCAAACAGAAACAAATGCGAAACTTGAATTTCCCCAAACACATGAGAATTCATGATTATTTCCAATCACGATTGAAATTACATAGACCAAATAAATAAAGAAGATTATATTTATTTTACAAAAATAAAAACTAGAGAAAAATCGTGCATTTTTATTTTGTGTAGTGGCTAAAACAAAATGAAAGGTTTATAAAGGAAGAGAAGATCAAGCTTTAAGAACCAACTATTTAATAGCTGATGCTTTAATGAAATGGTGCACTGCACCTATTATTTCATTTTTTGTTTTCTTCTTTTTTCTTACCGGATTCTTTCTTCTTTGTTACTTGAACTATAACCATTATTATTCAATTTTTTTAGAAATTCATAAATATAAATAAAGTAAAACTATTATTATTGTCTTTACTTCATTTGTTACTTTTACAATTGCTATAATAAAAAGAGTCTATCTATTAATTTTATACTTGTTTGGCAATAATCAATTAGATTGAATATACTTTTTTGAATAAAAAATGATTTTCTAATCTCGTGCGACACCCATCTTATTAATGATTTTCTAGTATCGTGTTACAATTAATGTAATAAAAAGAGTCTATCTAATAATTTTATACTTATTTGCAATAATCAATGAGATTGAATATATTTTTTTGAATAATGAATGATTTTCTAATCTCGTGCGATATCTATCATCTTATTAATAATTTTACAGTCTCGTACGACATCCATCATCTTGGATTCTTGCAAGACAATTGTGCTCAAAGTCTAACATCCGCCATCCTAAATTCTTGCAAGACTTATGCGACATCCATCATCTTATCAATTATTTTCTAACTTCGTGGAACATCCATTATCTTAAAATTTTGCAAAACAATGGTGCCTTAAAGTTCAACACCAATCATATTATCAATGATTTTTAGTCTCGAGCTTGGTCCACTTCTGAGATTAAGATATCTAGCAATTGAGATAGCTTCTTACGATGTCTTGTTTTCTGACCTCTCCAATATATCTTGTCTTGGTGAGTAAAATCTATTTGGAGTAATGTCTACTATTCTTTAATAGCGGTAATGTCTACCTAATTAATCACAAAGTAGCAGTAGGATAGACCCCAAAATTGGATAAAAACTTTTAATCGCAATTCATAAACATACATTCTGAGAAGCCATGCTATGTGACCATATTTCTTTGAGACGCTTCTTTAGGTGGTGACATTCTAATAAATCCATACATTGTTAGTGTCCGTGAAGTTATTTTGCTTGAGATCAAAGAGCACCCTTTCTGGCAAAACCGATACACGTCCCTCTTTTAAACAATCTCCCTAACTTTGCTGTGTATTAGCCATGAGGCTTGCCAACTTGTGCATTGTCTTATAATCTTTCACCATTGACAACTTCATGGATGCAATCGAATCCTTCTTTGTTGATGGCTATTGAGCCCGAATACCTTTCCTATATGCAAATGATAATGCAAATGCGCATGGATGCAAAAACAATCCAAAAATAAAGCAAATCAATATAAATAGTAAAAATATAAACTAGCTAATATATTAAATCCTAAAAATAATGTGTCATGCCTATATTTTTTTTCATTATTTTTCAAGGACAGCTCATGCCTACAAGATGGTCATATTATTGTGGGTATTATCATGTCGTTTAATGCTACCCACTCTACAGTTCCATAGAGCTTCATAAGAGATTAAGATAGAGTAAGAGGTGTTCCTTTGTGTGTTTCTATTTAAGGGTACACCTTTTGATTTGGATCAAAATGGTTTTAGTTAGAGGAAAGATACTCATGATTTTTAACATGCGAAAGATATCATCTCACGATAGCATAAATGCTTAACTCCCTCCTAACAAGGTATAAACCTTAGGTAGAGGGCTTATGCATTAATGTAAATGTGTCATGTGTGTAAAGGGAAAATACCAACCTTTAACCACTCATCTCATATACGTTTATCCTAGATACCCTGCATTTGTTAAAACAAATAATCAATAAATGACAATAAATAAATAACATGTAATTAATAGAAAAATAAATAAAATAATGCTACTTAAGATTAGGGGAATAAAACATTTTTGATTAATTAAGGATTAGGATAACTTATGATTATTTATTGGCTTGACTCTCGAAGTCTTTAGTGAAGTCACCAAT